GTGTGTGTGTGTGTGTGTGTGTGTGTGTGTGTGTGTGTGTGTATACGGCGGGGGGAGTGGTGCGGTAGGGGTGGGTTGTGAAAGATAAGAGAGGGATGAGAGGGAACTGAAGCCCTGGAGCTCACACACACACACAGTCTGTTGTGCACTTGTGACGGGGTGGAACAGGTGACCTCCGAGTTTTCCKTGGTCACAATCTCATCCCACCAATTATTTTGTAGAACTGACTCAGTTAAAGGGCTGCTTTARCTGCTTTTGTTACAGCACCTTTATAAATTCCAGGGACCTCCAAGCAACAGATTTAAAAAAAAGAAGAAGAATTGATGCTGAAGAGGCAAAAGAATTCTGATCAGATTCAGACATTTGTATTTTTAATGGTAATGAGTGAATTACGATATAATCTTTTCCAATTTCACAGTAAAAYAAAWMMAAAAAAAAGTCACGCAGCAGATGTTTTCTGGGGACACTAAAACGTAATGAACGCAGCTTGTTGTTGCCATAGAGACTCATGAAGTTATTGACGTTGACTATTTGACAGCGGTATCGGAGAACAGCAAAAATGTTTTTGTGTTTTCAAAGCGGCSTTTCAGTCTAGTTGTGGCTTTGTATCGCTGCAAACTTCAGCTTTAATACTTAAGTCTAATACCAAAAACATTTATGATTTTCTGCTATTTTATATTTGAATCTAAATCTGTTTATTAAACTCCTGTGAAAGGTTTAAAGGGTTTTATAAATCCAAGAAGTGACTTCTAATTAGCAGCTAAAGCCCTGCATCTGTACATTATAGCATTATTAATAATGTTTGTGTCTTCATTATGTATACACTAAAGGTTTCAAAGTAGACAATATGAAGTTTTTCACTTTACAGAAAAGCTCATTTATAACTGATTAAAGGAAAACTTCATTTAATTTAATTAAAAAGAAGAAAAAGGGCTTTATTTAATCTAAATTACTACATTAAAACCCATAAAAGAACTGATTATTTGTTCAATAATTTCATTTCTCCCGCTATCATCTTGTATTTACCTGGTCCGTGTTTGTAAAATCTCTGCAGCAGCGGGTTTGGATCCTGCTGCCTCCTTCCCTCTAACTCTCTTTTACGTGAAGTGAGAGGACCAGGGTCACCTGGGGCTCCGTCCTTCTGTGAGTCTGTTTATTTGCACAGAGTAGGTACTCATATTCTTAATKTTTTCCCCCTAAAACTCTTTTCGTTTTGCAGCTGTTGATGTGCACGAGGAGAGTTCCTCTGACTACAACATTAAGTCCTAATTGAGGACGAACACACACTCCTACCTTTCTTGCTTTAGTTATTTTAGTTTTTGGAGGAGTTTGCCATCCTATTTTTCTCAACCACAATCATTTCTGGAATTGGGCCTAAATCCCCCCCCCGGTTAAGCCGGGTTTTCCTCGGAACGAGAATGTAGGCGAACGCTGCGCTGATACAGCTTGGCTGGGCTGGTGATGGATTTTGTGGACTGGCAGGTACACAAAAGCCAAAATTCATCCACTAAAGCGCTGCATACACCAGAAAATTAGGCTTTTTTTTCCAGGATGAGGCGTTCTGCCAGTCAGTTAAGTTTGAGCAGCTGTAGATATAAGATGAATCTCTTACGCCGGATGTCTTTGTTCTTTAATTGTGTGCTTGAGTTCACTACTTTTCTCTCCTTTTTTTTGGTGATGCTAAAGAGATGTCGATGTTTCCACGCAGGCTGAACTGCAGGAGACAAAACATCCTATCCCTCCTTTTACTTTCATCTGGATGTCTACCCCCACCTCTCATTTTATTTCCCCTCTCCCTCTCTCTTCTTTCATCATATGAGGAGGGGAGGGGGAAGCCCTCCTGGCCATTTCTCCAACTCCACCACCCCTCCACCTCCAACTTCACCCCCCCCACCACCACCACCGTACTCCTTTTTTTCCCCAACTCTTCTTTTGCCCATCAGGTCCAGAGAGAGCCTCTCAAACAACACCTTGCACCTTCGTATCCACACACATACACACTCAGCCAGACACATGCACAGAGAGATCCTCTTCACCCCCGCCTCTTTCGTGCACACACACACTTTCATTTTCTGTGCCCTACACTTCAAACACATGAAAGGATGCTCTGCGGGGACCAAGGCTAAAGGGAGAGTTGGCAGCAAGGAAAAAAGAGGAGGAGGGGAAGGAGGAGGGGATGGCGTGGAAGCAAGCTTGAGAGAAAAATGTATAGGAGAGGACGAGGGGCCCGAAGSGGGTAGAGCGTGAGGGGTCATGGTGGCCTCACTGGAGACCAGGTCAGTGTCGAGGGGGGGTCTCTGTGAAGAGGTTCACRTCGACTCCCCAAGAGACCAAACAGCCTGTCCGAGTGATGATTCCTTATCAAGCCCCACCTTCATTAGAGACAGGGAGGACGCGGGGAGGTTGTATTAAAACACGTCCCATAAATCAACATGTAAAAAGTTGGTGGGTGTTTAAAGGAAGCTGCCCGGTGTGCTGCCGAGGGCTCATCCACCACTTAAAGCTTCTGACAGGATGTTCAACACGCACACTGCATGTCACTGTACGGAGAATTTCCAAAAAGTTGTTTTTAAGTGCATTTCATTTTAAAAAATTACGGATTTTTTTTTGTCTCACTCACTGTTTTTCTTTGTATTTATTTACTTCTAGTTTCACTTGTAGTCGTCCTGGTGTCTGTTTTCTTCTACAGTTTCTGCTTGTGTTCATAGAAAGATTTTAAGTGCAGCTTTAAAGGAGACATATGCTTTTAAATTCTTCTTTTTCACATTGAAATCATTCAGTTAGGGTCTACATAAAGTGGAACTGCATTGCTTTGGTCTGAATTCCTCCTTATTGTAACTCCACAAGCCCCTCATTCACCACTTTTCAGATCAACTCATTTTGAATCTGTCTCTTTAAATCCATAGGAGGTGCTTCATGCCCCACCCCCTCACAGAATATAAAACTAAATTAAACTTGTCTGCACTCCTAGAGGCTCCAAGTTCACAACTACATGTATTTACTGACTAAAAAAGTGGATTTTGCATGACATGTACCCTGAAAGGATAATAAATAATTAAGTAGAGTACAAACTATAACGTACTGAAGTACGGACGTGTAAGACTGGGAATTTGCATCAGTGCTGCACCAGACTAAAGACCAACARGGCTTTGGAAAAAAGGAAGCCAGCAAACAGAACAAGTTAAAAAAAACTCACAATGGGATGCATTTCGCCTGTAAATCCTCTAAGACACAGAGAAAAGGCAATTAAAACATTTATAGGCTTYGCCCCTACCAAGATTTGCAGCTAGCAATTAAAAATCATTACTAATCAAATAAAAATAAAAGCAGCTCAACTACGATTCGTCCGCAGCGCTGATTGGATTTATGCGATTTTGAAAGAGCTCATAAAGCCAGATCGACCCTAATGTCACAATTCCTTTTAAATGAGAGATAAAATTAAAGATCTGACGACAGGGGAGATGAAATAAACAGAATTCTAAATTCTAAAATAAAATTTAAAAAACACACGCTATTTTCTACCTTAGGATAAATCCAATCAATTTCCTGCCTGTGGAAACGGTAAATTTGTGACAYGCTGGTGGTTTCCTGAACACTAGGAGATTTAGAGTGTTAGCAGGCAGCCAGTAAGAGCCTCTGAACCAATCATGGTGTTGATGTATGTGGGTGTTGTTAACARCAGAGAGTCAGGGTGGTCAGAAATCACCTCAGCTGACACTTTGACACTGGGTGGGCAAGATCCACAAATAGAAATGTCAGCCATCTCCAAGGCTGGGGTTTCACCCTGGCGGCAGAGTGGCAGACCTTAGCACAGATCCCTGAATACAGAGCTGCACTCCCAGGTTAAAATGTAACGCTGCACCTCGCTGRACTGCTGACAGGAGATCGAAGACGTGGGTTTTTGTTTTTAAAGAACCTGCTCGAGTGCTTCCAGAAAAAGTTCTTGTAGTCTAAATAAAATCTCAAATGACTCTAAAATAATGAGGAAAAAAAATCTTGATCTTTCATCAATCTGTTGCTGGAAAATCTCTTTAAAGGTCAGCTGTGCTCTGAGGTTTCTGATTTGATCGTGACGTCAGTGCAGAGGAAGACTGACCGTGACCGGGCAGACCCATGCTGCTTGCGAGATGGTAGAGGCGTTGCTGCTGCTCCTCGAAGGACCCTTGCTCGCTGAGCGCAGACATCATGCGCCTGTATTGCTCCACRGGGCTCATGTGGCTGTGGCTGGCGCCTGCTTCTACTACCGGGCTCTGGGRGTTTTCTGAAAACAAGAGGAGACTTTTCAGCGACAGGCTTTATTCAYGCCATCAGGAAACACACACAAGCTGAAAACATTAAGGTGCAAAATTAGACTGTTATAAACAGTATGCAGCTTTACATTGGAGTCTTCACAGGTTTTGGAAGTTTKACCCAAAGAAAATCACAAATAACTAATTTTAGGAAACAAACTACACATTTTGTGCATGACCGATAAATACCCAAACATTTTATTTTTAACATTAGTATGGATCAACATACAATATACACTCTTTAAAGGGGGGCTTTGTGCAGAATCAACTTTTTTGAGCTTTATGTTATGTTATAGTCATTCCCAGAGTGTTGCTTTGACTAATTCATGCATACTGGGAAATCCTTGAATCTCCTGTGGTAGCCATGTGGAGCTGTTTGAATGCTTACTGGTAAAAAGCATATTTGTACAAAGCTCCTCCCCGGAGCTCAGTTTACAGCTCCAGCCCTACAGAGCACCCCCTCCACCAAACCACTGTTGTAAAAATGTGCTGAAGTGGGAGTGTAGGAAATGGTAGGAGGTTCTTAAAGAAACTGAGGCCAATTTAAAGGCTTTTGGATAGGCTCTGATGCAAAGACAAATTTATTTTTGAAATATACATCATTTTCATTACAACTGAAGGTAACAGTTACTTGATTGTGGCAAAGAAGTGAACTATGTGCCTGGAAAATACATAAAACCCACTTTAAAGAACGTTGGGCCTTTTTTATTTTTGTGATAAAACTGCTGTTCTCAAAAGTTTAAACACAAAACAATGAATTACAGTAAAAATGAACATTTGTATAATTCCAGCACATTCTTCAGAAAATTAGCCAGAAACCTCTGCACCAATCTTTCATTAAGCAAATCGCTCTGACGGACAGGAAGCCTCCTGACACAAAGTCATACATTGTTAATGTTCTGCACCTGACCCCAACATGAACTCACAAATTCTCTGACAGCACTTTCCATACTAACAACACTGTACTGGCTTTTGTCTGTGTGTTATGTCAGGTACAGAAATCCCTATAAGAATAAAATGTCCATGTATGAGAATACACACTTCTGTGCTGGGTAAATGATCAAGGTGTATGATGTCTATCTAGCTGTCAGTCCTCATACTTAATCTCTCTCCCTGACCTCCCTCCTCCCCCTTTCTGTCAATAGTAACATGATCTAAGGCAAAGGTGCTGGGGTGGGGTGGGTGGGGTATGTGGAGAGGTGTTTCAGACGTTGGGAGAGGGAGACAGAGGATGAGGTGGAGGAGGGAGAAGCAGAGGAAGGCTGGGGTTATTTTTACCRCCCTCCTCCTTATTGAAACCTGAGTCTGGCCCCGGGCAGGCGAGCAGGAGTGGCGCTGAGGAGCGGAGGTGGGGTGGAGGAGGTGAAGTGAGGGAGGAAGCAAACACGCAAGCATCTCTGTCTCCGCCGCCGAGCGCCTGCTAATCCATCCAAGGTCCTGAAGTGTACGCGTCTCTGTGTGTGTGTGAGTGTGTGTGAGTATGTGTGTGTGTGAGTGTGTGTGTGTGTGAGTGCACAACTAGTCTGTGCCTGTCTAAAGTTTTTCTGCTCTCTGAACGCAGCAGTGGGTGCCGACTCTGCGGCTGAAAGGAAAACAGGCATCATTTACACAGCAGCATCCAATCTCTCTGGCTCCATCCCATATGCTACCCTCTTTGGCTCTCTTTTAGGCTACTCCTTCACCTGCATTCGTCATTAAAGGATAGCGTCTGTCGCCAGACCAGGAGAGGGGGTGGGCTGTAAGCAGCACAGATAACACAAACAGGTGTCAAGCTGGGCTTTGGGTGTGGACGGAGCTCAGGGTTAAGACCGAGGATCAGCAATGTTTTGAAATGGTTTAAATGTATTTCTCTGAGCGACGGGCTGCGCATAAACATACCTGCAACAGTCATCAGTCTTTAGCATGTAAACACACAACAGTTGTTCAATTCAAAAACTAGACACCAAACTATACTTATTTTAACAAACAYTAATTGAACTCAAACAAGCTCTATTTGCTTTAAAAGGAAGCCCAAGTAAAACACACACACCTAAACAAACAGGTTCTCCTAACCAATAACAAATCCATGCATCTTTTAAGAGCTTGGGCTGTGTCTAAGTGAGACGATAATGGCCAGGAATGGCTGTCTCTGTACACAGAGGAGGAGGAGGAAGAGGCTTCAGGCAGGACGGCTGCCGCTCACAGGTCACCCAGAGGGCAAAGGTCAAAACAAAGTTCATGCTGAGCTCCTCTCAACTCAACATCCATGTTCACTGACAAGTACGCTTTGTTCCTGAATTCTTTCACAAAATACAACAGTGTTACACTTTTTGAACACGTTTTTTAAATGTGGAACATGTTGTCTGTGTTTCACATTAATATTACCAGGCATCTTTGTGMAGTACAGTAATACATTAAAGAGCATTCTTTGAATCAATGTACGTATATCCCCTATTTCCTTTCATGCTAAAGTATTAAAGTTGAGTTTAAAATTAAATCAACTCTAGRTGCACATCAAATAAATACTCAAGGAATGTTTTATTAAAATCCATTCATTTGATGTTTGATGTAATTTGACAAACATGTGGACATGCAGTCACATGTAAAAACATGATCGCCCTTTCACCTGTGCCAGCAGGTAATAAAAAAACGTAACTTTACTCAATTCACAACTTTAAAGTTGCCACAATAAGAAAATTAAAAAATAAAGACCTGTAGCCTTAAAACTATGTGYGTCATTAGAAAGTCGAAGATATTCTAACTTCCTGGAAACCTTAAAAAAATGTTTTGTGAAGCTATGAACTAAGAGGAGAGTTAAACTTTGTTGAACTGAAGCAGTATAAAAAATATTAATACATATTAATAAAAGACAGAAAAAAGTAATTTTGGATCTTATATGGTGGACGAGGGACATTGATATTTAGAGATGAGGTAAAATAAGCCATTATTGTTCAATTCTGCTGCAATTTAGATAATTATGTATATAAAATAAGAAGGTTTAACAAAAATGGAAATCAGAATCAGAAATGTGAGAAAGGGGTACAATATAAGTTTTACTTCAATCTGCTCCTTTTCAAACAGATGACCTTGTATGTTGGACAAAAGGTTTTATGTATGTGTACACAATTTTGTGTTTCTTTTATGTCTCTTTTGAAATAAATTATTCTATTCCATTCAAGTGCATCTTGTCATTCTTTAATCCCCCCCCCCCCAACTGATGTTCATCTGTTTTTATTCAGAAAGACATAAAAACATTACATCACATGAACACGCTGTGCAGCCTTACCTTTTGGAGACACACTTCGTGACTTCTTACTATCAGAGGGACACTCGCTGCTGCTGTTGGGAGAGAAGCTTTTCCTTTTGCCTAGAAGGTCATCTGTAAACACACAGGAAGGGATAAAGAGCAGTCAAACAACAGAAACAACTAAAAGCAGAGCTTGATATTGCCACGCCGTCCTGTATGTAGCTACATGCTTGGCAGATGTTGTGGAATTGGAAAGCAGAAAGCGACAGAGAGGAGGTGAAGCAAGCTATGAGCATCTGGAGATGTGCCTGTTCTGTCAGCTACAAGGAGAGAGCCTGTAGCACTGAAGAAGACAGGTCTGCCCGGCTAATTCACATGTGTCTGAGGCAGAGAACGGGACTCCGTCTCTGTGCTTCATCCAAATGTCTCCATCCAACAGGCTGCACTCACGTGTTCATTTCTCACCCTGTCTTCCCAAACGTTTGGCACAAAAGAGCCTGATTTTTACAAACATACGTGGCATAATCTTTTTCTTTTTGGAAACCTTCTGTCAGCTGACACTGTGTCTTTTTGGTAGTGTCCTCTCCTGCCATCCTCCTCTCATAAAACTTGTTTCTCCATCCAGGTTTGAGCCCTGCTCCCACCAGGAGCCTTCTATCTGATCCCCCCCACTGCCCTGCCTCTGCCACCAAAGAGAAGCATCCAGTGTACAATTACAGAACCCCCTGCTGCCTCCTCCTCCTCCTCTCCTCCTCTCTCATCTCTCTCCTCCACCACCCCCACAAACACGCCTCAAATCAATACACAGGCCTAATCAGCGGAGGGAAGGGACGCAAAGCAACACTGCACGCAGCGCTAGCAGGAAGGAAAGAGCCGTTTGTCATCGCTCCGTCTACCTTCTTTTATTTCTATCTCGTGCGCCTCAGATTGTTTTTCGAAACTCCTCTGTTTCTTCCTGCGCGTTCGCAGCCGAACCACAGCAGCAACTGCTTCTCTTCTTTCTCAATGCATATTTTTAGGAATGGGGAAAGGGAGGGGGGGTTTGTTCCCTCAGCCTCCCCCACGACCCTCAAGGAGAACGGTTCTCCGCTCTCACCGCTTTTCAACAAAGCAATTTTTCATCATTTGCACAGCATGTGTAAACAGCATGGGGAAAAAATAAGAAATGGAGTGGGAAAAAAGAAAGAATAAAAAACAACAAAAGCAAAACAACTAATTTTTGTCGCAAAGCTTGAGCCAACAGAGTCCAAGAAGTCCAAGTTTGGTATCTGCCCCTTTACCTTTTTGTCTTTGACTTTTGATGCAAAACTTGAGTAAGGTGCATTGAATAATTGATATTATTTTGTGTTTTGTTTTTGTTGTACTTCTTTAAATTAGCAAAATCTTATGCTTGCATGTTTAATTAAACATAAAATAATAAACATTACAGACATAAGGAGATCTTAGTCAAAAACTACGATAAAAGGCAGCAGGCAGTATGTATACCTTCAAAGAATGCTAGGGCCTTCAGTTTTGTAAAGGGGTCAAGCAGACAAAGTAGTTTAGTTGACAACAATGAGAAAATCTTAYAAAAAGAATCTGTTGCTCAGCTTGTCGGTGACGAACAAAGAAGATGAAAAAGAAGGGACAGGGTGAGAGGAATGCACACACTGCCATCGCTTTACAGAGAAAACAAATACTGGGAAAAAAGTTTGTTTTCATGAATAAGGTTGAAGCAGATGGAATGTAAGAACAATGCAATATTGTAGAAAGGGCAGCCAAAAACGGTCAGGACAACTTATTTTTGCGGTCACTTTGAATCAATCAGTGGCGGTAACACGTGAAGATTTAGCCATATAATGATCCCTTAACTCGGCATCCTTGTAGTTTGTCTCAGCGTGTAAWTTTTTTTCRGCCATGCTTCAGTTTTTCCTGCTACAATTTAGCCAATGGGATACTTTAAATAAAGTCTACCTTTTTCACCCGTTTACAGTAAGAACACTTCCAAAACTGTGACTTTATGAGATCTCAAACAATAAATGTTCATCACAAAGTTAGAGAAGGGATGGATAAAACCAGAGAAAAGTGATTTAAAAGTGATATTGTTTGGCTCCTAAAGGAGTCCTGGTGKGAATGAGAGGGCGACTGAAGCAGCAGAAGAGGGAAAAAAGGAAAAAGGTTCACTAATGATCCAGTGTTTGATGTTGCCTCTCAGGACCTGGGGAGATACACTTCCTATACCATCCAAATGAGACAAAAAGGGGAACAAGTGCTAATGGACAAGAGTATGCATACAAACACATCTTTTTCCTTTTCTCATTTTTCTGTCATCCTTCGTTTTGCTTTCCTTCGTACTTTCAAAGTCCGGTACATTTCTTTCGTCGGTCCATTCAGGAAAAGAAAACCACTGATGGCCTCCATCTATCCTATTAGTGAACCCCCATTAGTTAAACCCGCTCTTCCACCAAAACACACGCACACCCAGAGCCTCTCATGATCAAACACACATCGTTGAGTTGTCTCTTGAGCCGACCTCGCTCAAGACACCACGTCTCCTGAGCAAGTGCCTGAGGGTCAGAGATTTGAGGGCGGAAAGCTTTTAAAGCCAATTAAATGGGACTTCTTAGAGCACCGGCGCTCCCTTTTAATGCCAAACCCCGAGCTTTGCTAGCATCTATGCAAACCCCCTTTTCACTCCCACTAACACCTCTTACAGGCAGCTTCACAACCCTGGGCCTTTTCCTATTTCCTTAATTTTGTAGAAGAATTACTGGTTGAGAAAAAGGGAGTTTTGTTTTAGCTTTAAAGCTGTAATTTTCACAGCCTAAACAGTGCAGTTATTTAGTGCCTGCTATTGTACATACCATGTTTTTGGCATTCCTGGTCAGCAGTCTGTTTGTGTCTTTAACAATGCCTTGTTCCCCCATGCTAATTCATCTCCTTCTTTTAAGCTGTTCCTTTCACTGAGAGGAAACATGGATGAGAAGAGAGGAGCGTGAAAAGGAAAAATGAAACAGAAAGACCTAAATAAGTCGTCTTTCAAGTGACAACACCAGGGCACATCTTTGGGCATGAGAGCAATGCGCTCTTTTTTTTCTCATTTCCTCTTCTCTCTCAAACGTCAGTCGTCCAGCTTCCTTCTCTCCRTCCCAGAGAGCGGGTTGACAGCACAGACAGCCAGACTCCTTAATTCCTCTCTTACTCTGTTAATCTGTCATCTTTATCAGGCCGGGGGAGGCAGGAGAGGGGCGGTGCGCGAAGAGGGGTGA